ATGATACCTTGCTCTGATAATGTTCGTCATATGCGAAAGTTTAACACCTTCTTACCAGAATCAAAAGGAGATTACTTCGGAAACAGCGTCAACATGAATGCTCCAGTAAAGCCAATCGACAGCTGGTCCAGAGGAATCCGCCGTTGTCTTCTGGTGGAACCAACTTTCGAATCTCTTCACCCAACACTTTCATTATAAATAGAAATAAGCACAATAATCATTCCATCCAAAGCCATGCATTCAAATTCCTAAAGTGTTTTTGCCATCGAATTCAGAACTTTTGGTCGAGCAAAATCACTCATAAAAGTAAAGAGGAAAGGAGCATTCCTGAGCTCCAGAAGAGCAACATGGCTCAAGTCTGTCCTTTGCCCAGCTGTAATTTGTGTGTGCTTGATGTAAACATACGAATGGTAATGGTCGCATTCTCCAGAGCGCAAAGAGGCATATGGATGTGTAATAAAATGACAAAGTAACGGCAGATTATGGATTCATATGGACGCCTTATTCGAACGCAAGACATGAAAAAGTGCAAGTTGCAAGTAAATATACATGTCCCGATGTCGGTGGTTATGATTCCGAGTTTTTTTGCCAATAAAAAATACTGAGCGAGTTACGAGCTCGTGATTTTTCTATTTCTTCTGATATAAAAACTCGATTACAAAGAAAGTATAAATATGATTTTTATCCAATTAATTTGGAAATCAAAACAATTTATAAGAATGCATAGCACAATGAACGGACATGCTTTATGCATGCGAAACTGATTTTGTTTGAAGCCAACGACCCGCATCCCCATGGACGATGGGATTCCCGGCCTCACTGCCTTCACTAAATATTGTCGAATAGGGATCAGTAAGCCAAGGCTCGCAACTTGAGTGGAATAACATGCACTCAAGTGGTAGCAAACGGAGGAGAAAGAATTGACCAAGAGCGTCATTACCAAGAATCCCGGCAAACTCTGTCATCAGATAAAAGCTGGAAAAACCTTCGAGATCATTGGGAAACTGACTATAATCAGTCATTGGTTTGAGTTTATTTTAGTTTCTCTTTAAGAAAATCTATTTCAAAGAACCTCGCCTACCTTATGGATGAAAACTTTCTGAAACCCTTTTTTCGTTTCCGGCAAATTGGAAGTTAGAGCAGTAAAAAAATGCAGGGAATGTAGCGTCAAAATTATTTTTTGACAGATCACATACCTTTGTGCAGACTCGCAACGCTAAGGCCCATTCTTGGTCAGCACTTAGTTCAAGGCCATTGAGAAATGCTGTATTTGTGCCGGAAGGAATTGGTTTTTCTCTTTGATCCGTGGGCAGCAAACGTGATATATTCAGGACCACTTTCACGCTTCTTCGTGGCTTGCGAGGCTCAAATGCGTCGAACTCAAGATCAGAGTTTGATGACCTCTCCAAGTGCAACTCCTGGTGCTCAGGAAAGATATGCTTGGCCAAATATCGGCCAACGACAGTCAAAAGACCGGGCTTTTGGCTAAAGTTAAATTGGCCAAGAGAATTGATGGGGCGAGCCAGCAGATCGTAGCTGATTGGCTGGCCATTCTGATGGTTGGCGCGGGGAAGACCAATCACCAGACTGGAGCGGGTCCGCCGTCCGGCCTCATCCGCAGGGCTATAGGCAACCCAGGGTGTAGGGACCGTGTCCGGAGCTAGTGCCATATTAAAAATAAACAAACAAAAAGCAATTTTCGATTAATCTCCTGAGATAGTATTGTTGTGTAGACTTTAATTTCATATCAAAGTACATGATAAAGAGATTTTCGGTATATCTCATCAGAAGACGACGGTTGGTTCATGTCGTACCAAGTTAAGAGGACTGACCGGCTCTGTCCTACATGATTTACACTCATAACGAAAAAAATATTCAGGCATAGATGCAAATAGAGTGTTTTGGTCAAGTTTCTTATACGTTTTCGAGTAGCTTTTCGAGGCTACCAGTAAATCAGATATTTGAGTTGTGTTCATGCTTGATAGTTTCAGGCGATGAAGGAATGCTAGTTGAATTTTTCCACAATGCTATGAGTAGAGCTGACGTTTCTACTGAATTTCACATAGCTATGCTTACCCAAAAGGTGTTATCATCCAGGCTGGACTACAGTTTCGATTTCACATAGGTCTTATCAACATTTCCCAATGTGAGCCGAACCAGTGGTTAACGCGTCTAGATTACACGCTGCACTGTCATGGTTCGACTCCCGCTGGGGGTATTTATAAGGCCTAGGCGAGGTCGAAACTACGGTCCACCTCAGCCTGGATGAGAACACCTTTTGGAAAGCAAGGCTATACGAAATTCAGTCTAAACGTCAGCTCGTGGGAAAATTCTGCTACCAGTCCTTCATCATCTTAAACGAAATAGGGTGGACACAACTAATTTAATTCTCTTATATTTGAGAGTGCCTCTCTCTCTCTTTTTATATATATATATATATATATGTGTGTGTGCGTGTGTGTGTAAAGGTCCGTACACAATATCGGCCACAAGTCAGAGTAAATACAGTGTTCATTTGAGGCTTATGCAATAGTGAATCCCGGCTCTGAGGAGATTCGTCATAGGACAAACGAAAGTTCAGTCCGTTTTTGCCCGAAAAAAAGAAAGGTCTCATGGACTGCGTCAAACCAGACGGCTGCAGCACAACGAGAATTGGCCATCGTTTTCTGGTAATATCAAGCTACGAATGTCTTCTTCATGCAATTTCATACGAAATGAAAGTCTCTACAACAAATTGAACATGACAAAAAGGACGATCAGGAAAATGTGAAGACATGGAGATGATAATACGCTAGTTTGGATACAAGTTTAAAGCCTATCTGTTGCACACTTCAGTGAGAAAAGCGCTACTATCAAAACTGAAGACATACTAACTTTTCGTTGATAAGTAGGGTTTCGAGACTACCAGTAACTCAGTTATCTTATTTCGCTAAAGGTGATGGAATTGCAAGTCACGTCTGCCCTTTGGCCCAATGGTACTCGTGGCAATGTGGCGTAGTGGTTAACGCGTGGAGAGTACACGTTGAACTGTTGTAGTTCGACTCCCGCTGGGGGTGTTGATAAGACCCATGCGAGGTCGAAACTGCAGTCCACTTCAGCCTGGAGGAGAACACCTTGTGGGTAAGCAACGATCTGCGAAATTTAATGGAAATATGAGGTCTACTCACATGATTGTGAGAAAATTCAACTTTCAGTCCTT